GAACCGCTTGTAAATCAACATTTAAAGGCTACATAGACCTCTTCAAAACAAAGCATGAAACAAACCTCAAAATGATACCTTCAATGCCTCCAAAAACAATATTCTAGGCAGCCCAAATCGGCCATCAAAAGACCCCAAAAACAGTGCATGGATTGTCTCAAAACCGCCCACCAAAATGCCTCAAAACAGTGTCAAAATAGTGTCAAAACCAGCCGACAAAGGTACTCAAAATGGTGATTTATAATGCTCAAAACAGTGCTAAGGTGGTGTAAAAATTGTTGCAACACCGGCCCACAATAAACCCCAAAATAACCTTTAAATTCATCTCGAAACAATATGCAAACTTCTCCAAATCAGTCAATAAAAAAAAACACTTATAAACAGTTCCAAAGCATTATTAAAACGATGTCAAAACAATTCTAAAATCAGCCCCTTGAGAGCCACCAAACAAGCCAAGTAGTGCACTCTCGCAGCTACCAATAGGCCGAATCACTAAAAAAAAACAACTACAACAATTCCAGAACATAAGCTATCCCAAAGCTCAACAGGTGCTAGATAAATAAGTTCATGAGAGTTACTGCTATGTAGGATTTGAATCCCACATTCATTTGTACATACATGTGAGATTTCCTGAATTTTCACACCTTGTACATTAATTTTTACATTTATGCCACGCAAATCTTTCATGTGTACATACCATCCAAATCTTTCATATCACAATAAAAATACTACCAATTGAACTTCTAAAAAGTGAAATATATGCTTTCATGTATAGATAGGGTGGCATGAATACAAATATTAAAGTTCAGGTGAAAGAAATGTAAAAATGCAGCAATTGAATTATACGGCTATAAATATAAAACCTTAGGTGTTGATGTGTAAATACAGAAGTTAAGTGACCTGTATGTAAATCTTCCTAACTCTTGATGGCATTGTATAAATAAAATGAGTAGTATAGGAACAAAACAAGAATTCGTTACCCAGTTATTGCAATCGCTAAGATTCTGCGCTCCAAAGCTTTTCAGAAGCTCCGAGGAGTTATGTGTTCCTCCTACCTCCAATGCGGGCGAGGGAGGGTCAGCCGAGTGAGGCGAGCGACTTTGAGGCGGACGAGAGGTGAGCGGGAGCTTCTATCGGGAGCTGTGATTGAGTTGCAGAGAAGCAGGACAGCGGAGGGGTTTCCTGTGCGAGCAGAATTTGTTGAGAGCAACCGTCGCATGCGAGCAGGAAGCCGACGAGGGTGAGCGAGAGTGATGCGAGGGTTTCGGTACAGAGGAGGCGAGCGGGAAAGGAGTCAAATTTGGATCGCAAAGGGTGAGGTGGAGCGGGAGCCTCTGTCGAGTGGGGGTCTCAATGCAGAGGAGAAGAGAGCCGAATGGGAGAGGCGAAGTTTCGGTGTGGAGGGGAGTTCGCAAGAGGGGAGGCGAAGCAGGGGCTTCTGCGTGAGGAAGAAGATT